ATTGAGGCCGAAGGCGACGGCCGCTGCCTGATTAGAATAAGAGCGACTAAACCTTCGACCCCCACAAACTGGTGACCCCGACGTGATTCAACATGGAAACGGATAAATCAGTAATTATCGAGGAGAGCCCGCACGCGGGTAGAATAACCCTGCGGATTCCGCCGTTCTGGCCAGAAGAGCCGGAACTCTGGTTCGCACAGTTAGAAGGTCAGTTCGAACTCTGCCGAGTAACAAGCGACCACGAGAGGTACATCCACGCTCTTTCCAAGATAGAGCCTAAACAAGCGAAGGAGGTCAAGGATATTATCATAAGCTCTCCAAGCAGCGGAAAATATGAAGTCTTAAAAAAGGCATTAATACAGAGACTGACAGACTCACAAGAGTTTAAAATACGCCAACTACTAGAAACTGAGGAGATGGGAGACAGAAAGCCATCGCAGTTCCTACGGCATCTGGCAACCCTCGCCGGGACTGCCGTCTCGGAAAAGCTACTGCGCATGTTATGGCTAGGACGCCTGCCGGCTCAGACCCAGGCCATACTGGCGACACGAGGCGAGGATAACCTCAACAGCGTAGCGGAGCAGGCCGACCGGATACATGAAGTCAGCGATAAGACGATGGTCCAAGCTACGAGCGGACCGCAATCAACAAGTCCGGCGGCAAACACGCTAGAGGAACTACAAAGACAAATTGCCGCCCTCACGACAAAAGTGGAGAAGATGACCAGCGCGTGGCAAAAAGGCAGGCCTCGGAGCAAATCAAGAAACCGGTCCGGAAGTAGGAAGCACCACCAGGTCTGCTACTACCACCGACGTTTCGGAGCAAAAGCACGCAAGTGTGAACAACCGTGCCATTTCGTGGCAGACGAGAAGAGCACGGAAAACACGCAGGGCTCTCAATGACGGCGGCCGTTGAAAACAGCCCGAAATTATGCCGCCTACACGTCACTGACAGGGTGACAGGTCGTAGATTCCTTGTGGACACGGGATCCGATGTGAGCATAGTCCGCCCCCTCATAAGGGTGGTAACACAAGGCCGACCCCTTACCAACTGTACGCTGCCAACGGCACGTTAATACCAACGTACGGCACAGTAGCACTCCAACCGGATTTCGGACTGAGAAGAGCATTTCCGTGGAGATTTGTGGTAGCCAATACCACACAACCAATACTGGGAGCCGACTTCTTGGCGCACTACAGCCTCTTGCCAGACATGCAAAGGAGGAAATTAATAGACAGGAAGACAGGCCTGGCGACCGAAGGAATCACGAGCATAACATCAACGCCTTCTGTCAAGACAATCGTCACACCAAGCAAGTGAGGTTCTAGCAAAATATCCTGATCTAACAAACATCACGGGACACCAGCGCGAGGCGAAGCACGAAACGCAACACTACATCAAAACAACGCCTGGTCCACCCGAAGCATGTCGACCACGCAGACTGGCCCCTGACAAGCTGAAAGCGGCCAAAACAGAATTCGACCTAATGCTAAGAGAAGGCATTATACAGCCTTCAAAGAGTCCATGGTCGGCACCGCTACACCTGGTGCCCAAGAGGGACCAGACGTGGCGGCCCTGCGGAGACTACCGGCAACTAAACGCCAGGACAGTACCGGACAGGTACCCCATACCGCACCTAGAAGACTTTGCACACGCATTGGAAGGTAAAACAATATTTTCCACGCTCGACCTGGTCAGGGCCTATTACCAGATCCCAATACATCCACCGGACGTGCCAAAAACGGCAATCACAACGCCGTTTGGCATGTTCGAGTTCAAGTACATGACGTTCGGACTTCGGAACGCAACACAGACGTTCCAGCGCTTTATTAACAGCATACTCCACGACCTCGGGTACTGTTACGCATACATCGACGACATCTTGGTAGCATCTCGGACACCTCACGAACACGAACAGCACCTGCACGAAGTGTTCCAGAGGCTTAACAAACACGGCATCAAAGTCAATACAGCGAAATGCGTCCTAGGAGAAAGCAAGGTAGCATTCTTAGGCTACGAAGTTTCGGCCGAGGGGACAAAACCTCCGGAACACAAAGTACGCGCTATAAGAGACTTCCCGAAGCCGGCAACAATCAAACAACTGCGCCGATTCCTGAGGATGACAAATTTCTACAGGAGGTTCATACCAGGAGCGGCCCACACACAAGCAGCCCTTAACGAGGCACTAAAAGGCAGCAACACGAAAGGAAACAAGCCAGTAGAATGGACGCCCGAGCGGGAAACAGCGTTCGACAACATAAAGGAAAGCCTGGCTCAAGCAACTCTAGCACACCCAGACGCAGCAGCAAGGTGGCGACTCATCACAGACGCGTCAAACGTGGCAATAGGAGCAGTACTGCAGCAAGAGAAAGGACAGACTTGGCAACCACTGGCCTTTCTAAGCAAGAAGCTGAACAGCGCACAAAAGAAGTATAGCCCCTATGACAGGGAACTACTGGCCGTATACTCGGCGGTCAGACACTTCCAACACATGCTGGAAGGCCGGCCATTTACCATCTTCACGGACCACAAGCCACTGACATACGCCTTCAATAAGGACCCGCTGCACAGCTCGCCAAGACAGGCACGCCACCTGGAGTACATAAGCCAGTTTTCGACCGACATACGGTATATAGCAGGCAGGGACAATATAATAGCCGACACCTTGTCCATAACCGAAGAGGTACGGCAAGGAATAAACTTCGAGGACCTAGCCAAGGCTCAGGAGACCGATGCAGAGCTACAGGCAGTCTTAGAAGCTAAAATAGGCCTGCAGTCGGAAAAAGTACCCGTGCCTGGCACCACGACGACCGTGTATTGTGACACCAGCACAACAATAGCGCGACCGTACCTCACGCAGGAATTCCGACGTCAAGCATACGAATCACTGCACGCCCTGGCATAATACACAACATTTTTGTTGAAAATATATTTTTTTGTAATTTAAAGCCAGATGATATAATAGAGTTTATAGTCATACGTTTTTCACGAGAAAAATTGCATCATATTTATAACACAAAATAAAAAAATTACATATAATGAAATAAGTACCGTTGTGTACGTGTCGACAAAGGAGTATTTTCCATGCTGTTACATGTTAATGTTCTTTCCGGGGTAATGCTTCTTTTCTACTTTTGCACTTTACCACGATGTTCGTGCTTCCTTGAAGCGCTCGTTCTTCTATGGTATGTGTATGGCATACATCTCAGTGATCTATAAAAAATCAGTGACAGTGTTTATTGTAATGCTTGCAGATGTAATGTTTTAGCGATCATATCTTGATGAATGCACTGCTACCATACCTTCTAGGAAACGTTTTACTGAAATCGGTTCCAAGTGTGTGTAATGCACTTGGTGGTGTACGAGTGACTCGGAAGGATTCATTCAACCATGGATTACTATATAAACATAAAACAGAACATAATATTGACAATTAACAAAGTGATGTGAATGAAGAAATGACATATGAGAATTTTACATTATAGGTAGTAGATAAATTACGTTAAAACGTATTGAAGTCCGAAAATAATATTGTTAATATTCGAATCATTTTTTATTTTACCTTGTAGAGCATACTGTTGGTGTTACCGCAATGCTATCATCGCAAGATTGACTCACTGCATCAATCCCACTGCTACTTTCTACATTTTCGTCTCTGCTTGTGTCTGGATTGCAGACAAGTGGAAATTCTCGACGAATAATTTTAAAATCCATGTTTTCCATAGTATTTGTTCTAAAATGTGTTTAAAAATGCATGGTGTCATTTATCACACATTATTGACATATTATGTAGCCGAAAAGTTTACATTCAATAATGGTACGTTTTGGAAAAATTAATGTATTCGGATTATTTATTACACACTCAAATTTTTAGAAAAGCATTCTAAAATTTTATTTTTAATCGAGTCGGAAACATTTATGAACAATAATTATACCTGTCTTCTGCTGGTGTTAAAAATAATGTTGGTACAGCACTGCGTAAAAGGTGCAATATTGTCTTCTTCTTTGCAATTTTTGATTTCCTTTTTGGTACTATGAATGAATCTTCCGAAAAATGCAATGAACACACTTTTGCTAAACAAAATATATAAAATGTAACTATAATATGTTCCAGAAATACAGAAAAACCATACACGTTGGTCGCCTTAAAATTGTACATAGTGTAATGCATTGTAATGGAAATTGAGTCTACATTAACTATTGCTGTATATACAGTGGCATGCAAAAAGTTTCTGGTCAGTGACATCTTATACTTTAATTTATTTTTAAAAAACTTAATAAAATTGTAATTATTTTCACGTGTTAGTACAAGATTTCGTTATCCACCTCTTGTATTAACACTCGATAATGATTAAAATTTTATCAGGTTTTTATTTTTAAATTCAAATACTAAATGTCACTGGCTGGAAACTTTTGCACGCCACTGTATGTCCAATTTCATGAAAACTATCTTATAAATATAAGTACCAGTGACTGTAAGTGTATCAGTGACTGAACATGTATCTATACTGGATATTAATAAATTTATTATTATTAATCTCAATTTTTTACAATATTGTTCAATTGCATTTAAAGATCATAATTACATTACATTTAAAAAAGTGTTTGGCATATCTCTTTACTTTTAATGTAATATTTTATTTTTATTTTTATTTCCTTTACTTTGTTACTTATTATATATCTATTTATTATATATTGTATTTATTGCTGAAGAAGACTGTGTTAGTCGAAATGTTCATTTTTATGACTTTTCAGTTATGATAAAACTAGTGATTTGACTTTAATATAAACTAGTTTTTATAATATTTAAAATCCTAATAGCTCTTTATTGACCTTCCTACAAATCGTTATATTTAAAAAAGCATTTGAGATTAATAATAATATAAACAAATAAGGTTTTGGGTAAATATCCAACTTAGAGCAGCAACTTGGAGCAGTAAAGCGTGAGCAAAAGCCACCGTATTATTTTATATTTATTTTTAAGTGATATGCAGAACACATGATGTTTTAAATACTTAAAATAAATAATAATTGAGTATGAACTTACCAGATTTTTCATTGTAAGGTTTGTAATCTCCGATTTTTTGCAGTCAAGCTTCACGCATAATTTTTTTTTTCGGTAATTGAAAAAACTTATTTCAACACATGTATTAGAATCGCTATGGCAATTCTTCACTATACAACGTAGCACCATTTTCAATTAATTTTGAGAGTTTTTCACCAAAAAAAGTAATTCTTGCCCGTGCAAAAAACGAAATAATGTTTTAATGACAATCTAACCTGTTGGATACATAAGGACAAGTCAAAGAGACAATGTCAGATGCTCGAGAAAGTGCGTGAAATAAGGACAGTAGACGCAGCGCGCCAATGTGCCAATGCTAAATAATTTTACTCTCAACAGTTGGTACATTGGGTAACCGCGAACAGAAAATAGAGAGAGAGGGCAGATTTTAGAGAGAGAAGCTGAATCAATTGCATACACCATGTAATTCTTCCATCATGGGTTTTAGCAAAAATAATAATAGCCACGGCCTTTCACACATCATTCAAATACTTTATGAAGCACATACTATGGC